ATCAGCCCAGAGCCTGACGCGGGGCTCGAACTCACGGACCGCGAGATCGTGACCTGGCTGAAGTCGGACGCTTAACCGACTGCGCCACCCAGGCGCCCCCATTTTTAACTCTCATAATATTTTGGATAGTGACACAATCACACAGCTCAGAATTTTTGTTAATGTTTACTTACTGATTTTGAGAGAGAGAGAGAGAGAGAGGGAGAGAGAGAACCCCAAGCAGGCTCGGTGCTGTCCGCACAAAGCCTGACGCGGGGCTCGAACTCACAAACTGTGAGATATGATCTTGATTTCAATCAAGAGTCAGATGCTTAACTGAGCGAGCCACCCAGGCGCCCCCACATAGCTCAGAATTGTAAACGTACAAAAAGGTTATAAGGTGAGATGTCTCCATATTCCCATCCCCTATATCCTTCCCCAGAAGCAACCAGGGGATCCTCACAGGATCCTGGCATTTGTAAAAAGCGATGCTCATCCGAAGAATATACGTGAATAACGAAATGTCAGGCATCCATGAAGCCTCTTGCTGGAGGCGGTTGGGGACGCGGGCAGTCCTGTAAACAGAGCAAGTGATAAAGAACCTAACACCGTCAGGTTGCCAGAATCCTCAAATCATGGAATCTCAGGATGTTGGAAAAGAGGAATGTCATGAAAAGCCCCGCGGTTTCTGGGGCACCCACTGGGTGCCTGCCTGGCTGTGCTCCGCGATTTACGGCTTCCCCCCCTTCCTGTGGATTCGGGGCAGCGGTAAGAGTCAGCTTCTGGATTCAGACACCCCGGGCTGGGACCCCAGCTCTGCACCTTCTTGGCTGTGTGACATTGAGCAAGTTACTCTCCCTCTCTGGGTCCCATCTCCTGGTGTGAAATTGGAAGCATTACATGAGAAAACGCAAATATGGTGCCGGATGAGAGCCGGCTTGTGGCTTGCACTCACCAAGAGGAGCGTTGCTGCTCTTTGCACGCACGTCTCTCGTAAGCCTTTCCTGGCAACCTCCTGAGCGTGTGTCCCCTCCGCTTCCAGGAGGGAAGACTGAGGCCTGAGGGATGGAGCCACGTGTCTGAAAATACAGATGTGAGTGACGCAGCTCCCCAGGGGCCAGGTGGTCTTCGCGCCCAAGCCCCCATCATCATGCCTGCCTTCTCCAAAACCCAGAAGCTCGCAGCTTCCGGTGCCCTGTCGGATGAGGGGGAGTTCTCAGCGCCCAGGCCCTGAGAGGCTGCGGGGAAGCATCCCTCTCGTCCCCGCCTGGCCAGGCCCGTGCGGTGCTGGGATTCCCAGAGAGCCCCTGCCATGTGACTTGCCTCTGCCGTTGGTGGGGCCTTTGGGGGAGCAAGCCTCCTGGCCGTTTTCCTGGAAATCCTACGGACTCGGAGAAGGGCCCCAGGGCAGCCCCAGGCCAGAAGAGACAGGAGCTGAACTTGACTTGCACTGCCCTGCACTCCTTGGAAGAGTGCTGGGCTTGAGGTGGGCCAGTCTCGTGGAAGAGCTGCAGGAGCCATTTCCCCTTGCCTCAGTTTCTCCATCAGGCAGACGCTGAAGGGATGGTGCTGCCGGCTTCCTCTGGGGGAGGGCGGAGGGGAGAGGCTTCATGGGTGGTGGGAGGGGCACTATCTATTGGTAAACATTTGGCCTGGTGAGTGCGCGCGAGGGCGGGCATGCCCTGTGAGGGAGGTTCCCGGTCAGCTGTCCTGGCCATCCCGTGGTCCCTGGGGAGGTCAGCAGACTCCAGCTGAGGTCTGGTGCAACTTCAGATACCCTTGAACGAGTGACTTCCCCTTTTGGGAAAGGTCAGTGGCAGCAGGGACCACAGACTCAAGGCCTCAAACTCTGTGTCCACTTACACTCTGAGACTCAGTTTCCTCATCTGTCAACAGGGGATACAATGGCTCTGCCCAGTGCCGTTGGTGAGTGGGGTGTCCCCAGGATGAGGGAAGGGTCCCAGGTCGGGTGATGGCCTGAGACGGACAGGGAGAAGTAGGACTGGAGAGCTGGTTTAGGGTGGTGGTAAATGCATAGTCTTCTCGCAAAAGGAAGTGGCCTGTGCCATGGGGGAAGGGTTCAGTGACATCCTGGAATGCCCTAGACACCCGGTCCTGGGGAGTCCACCACACGGTCAACACTGCCCTTGCGACCAAGGCACTTTGGCCGGGTCTTCCCAGTGAAGCCCAGCCCTTCATTCCTGTGCGATCCCCTCCCTGGGCCTTTGCACCTGCTGACCCTTGCTCCAAGCTGCACCCTCCTTCTGCACATGACTGGACCTATCTGTGCCTCTGTTTCCCTCGTCTGTGAAGGAGTGTCTGCTAATGCATGTAAAGCACTTAGAACAGAGCTCGGCACCTGTGGAGGCCAACACACGTCAACTGACCACCCTCAGAGTTGAAAGCAGGGTCTCAAACAGGTATTTGCACACCCACGTTCAAAGCAGCATCACTCACGACGGCCACAGGGTAGCAGCAATCCAAGCGTCCACCGACAGGCCGTGTTGCATAAACAATGAAATATTCAGTTGGAAAAAGGAAGGAGAGTCTGACCCAGCTACAACATGGGTGACCCTTGGGGGCATCGTGCTGAGTGACATAAGCCAGTTACAAAAGGAGTAATGTTGTTATGATTCCACTTCTATGAGGTGCTTGGAATAGTCCAGTTTACAAAGAGAAAGTGGAACAGTGATTGCCAGGGGCTCGGGGAAGAAGAAACGGGGAGTTAACGTTTAATAAGTACAGAATTTCATTCTTGCAAGGTGAAAAATGTTCTGGAGAGGGATGGTGGTGAAGTAATAATAATATTGCGTAATAATGTACACACCACCCAACTGTATACTTAAGATGGTCAAAATGGGAAATTACGTTATGCGTGCTTCATCACAACTTTAAAAACCAACCAGCTGTCATTTCTGAGCAGAGGGAAGGGAGGCCAACTCACTTTGTCCTGGGCTTCTGAGCCCTGGGCTGCCGGTGAGGAGCTGACCGCTACTGCTGGCCGGGGGCTGGTACACCTGACTTCCGGGCTAGGCTGGAGGGGTCTGATGCCACTCTGCTCTGCCTGCTGTCCACCCCTCTCTTCCGGGTGGAGCTGGCCTGCTCTCCCCTACCCATCCCTCAGGGAGGTGGCCACTGGGACAGCGGCTGGCGGGAACGCCCCCAACCAGCGTCTGATGCCCATTTCCTGCTGAGGGTGGAATCCTTGGCTGGCCTCCTCTGGAAGTGTCTGGCCTCTTGGGGACGTTTCCTCATCTCTCCAGACGGGATAAAAGCAGCACCTGCCCCACTGGCTGTCGTCCCCTGGCCGTCTATGCAGCCCTGTTTTCAGAGGATTTCCCTTGTGTCGGGGGCTCCGTGTAGGAAGCACTTGACCTCCTATCTCAACTCAGGGAAAGGGGAAGTGAATGGTACGACCACAAAGGAGAAGGCAACTTTTCCCAACTCTTGGCTGCTGCCCAGGGTGAGGCCATGGAGAGGGAGCCCGGGCAGCCTGGGCATCCAGGGATGAAGTTGGCTGCCCAGCACCTGCCCTGTGAAGTGTCCGTCCTGTCTCTGCTGATCAGGATCTGGGGCTCTGATGGGTGGTGGGGTGTGTGGGCCTGACAACCCCCTCCCCCGGACACACACCCACAATGACCCAGAAAACTTCAGATTCTCCAGTGATTTCCCAATCTGTTTGGGGAGAGGAGAGGAGGGCTGGCAGCGAAGTGTGGGGATTGCACAATGTGGCCACAGGAGGCAATGAGCCAGGACCCCTTGGCTCCCACCCTCCTGGCCCCTGTCTGGCTGGATGAACTTGGGGGAGTGGCCTTTCATCCCCACAGTCTGTTCACCAGGGAGGAAATGGAATGACCCTCCCAGCCCCGGGGCACTGTGGCTCTGTTGGCTCCTCTGCAATGGTCACCGCCCCCCCCCCC